TATAGGTGTAGTTTGTGTGGTGGTAGTCTGAAAATCATCTTTCATTACTATTTTGGTCCTGCTGTAATATCTTGCTTGCATTAGGAGCTCCTGTTCTGTTGGCAGGATGTGGGATGTAGGAATTCCATGGCTCTACATCAGCCATGCCTAAATCACGAAGGGCTGTATTTATTGCTGTATTTATTTTTTGTGCCTGTGTAAAGAACATTTTGTAGATACTGGTGCTAACACAGAGTAATCTGCACACAGAGTCACATCTCAGCATGCCAGCTGTATTCCAGACAGAAAAAATAAAAAAGAACTTGTGTGGTGGGATTGCGAGTCTGCTTTTGAATTGTTGAGTGACACTTCATTTTATAAACTATTTACGAAGGAAACTATAAATGTTGGGCATTCATCTACAGCCCTGCCTCAGCCTGTTAAAAGCTATCAGAGGTGCACACATTCACTTGTCTAAATTGTTCAGTTTTGAAAAACAGCACATGTAGTTATGCCAAAAGCAATCAGAAGAAAACTTACAAGAGAAGCAGTTCTGACAGGTAAACTCATTCCTGAGGTGCTTATCACTAGAGAGTTATAATACAAAACTTGATCTCTGGTCTTCATTTTGGAAATCTAGGTCTTGCAGGTCTGGAATGCCACCTGAGAGATGCTGTGGAGCTTCAGTTCTGGGGTAAAAACAAAACAAAACAAACAAACAAAAAAACATAAAACAAAAACAGAACAGTGTGCTTAAACCTGTGTAGGAGAAACACAAAAATATACATTGCAATCTTGTGTAGTTCTGCTTCTCTGGCTGTAATAAAGTAGTGACTGAAATGAGGCATCCACTCATTAGCATTTTTTGGAGAATCATTTCCACATGATTCTGTTTCTAATGCAGGAGCAGCCTGTAATTTTGCAGCAAGCAGTGCAAACCTATTTCTGGCTCACTGGGCCAAAATTACTTTGACAATGAGTAGGATGCATATCTGGGCAGATACTCTAAAAAAAGGGAATTATTCAATCAGTAGCATTGAGTCACTTTACTGTGGCTGCATGTTTTAGTTTATTTTTGTCTGGATCTCTAGGGATGGTACTGCATTTGCTGAACTGGTGCTCAGTGACTAGGCTGACCTATATTCGTTCTTGCAATGGCTTGGGTGTTGAGTACCTGCAGCTTGGTCACTAATTTCAACAGATGAACTGTAGCTTTTCTTTAGTAAAAAGCAAACAAACAAACAAACACAAAACCTTATATTTGACTATGCAGTTCTTATATTCAAGGTTCATTCTACAGACCAAGAACAGTTAAAACACAAAACTGGGAACCATAGGATCTGGAATCACTTCCAGACTAAGCCTTTAGCTTGCTTTGTAGCGGACCCTCTTTAGTTTCATCAGCTGGTTTTATGCATATACCTATGTGTTTCAGGGAGATGTCAGAGTATTTCAAGCTCTTGAAATCATCAGCCTCTTCTGCCACCTCATGCCATTGACACTAGAGGCACCCTGGAATAACAGGATCAGGTACTCAGGTCACTCGGCTTACCACCAGTTCTGTCCAGTGTTTCTGTGAATGAGCTTTCCTTTTTCCCTGTTGGCACTGAATCTGGCTCTCTGATATTCTAGTTTGTCTTTGTCCTTGCCATTGTATTGGTTTTGCTTAAAGATTCATAATGCACAGGAGGAAAATACTGAGTCATTTTAGCAGTCTCACCTCAGCTATATCTCAGGGGAAAAAATGAAAAATTAAATCATTGTACCTTAGTTGCCAACACTGTCACTCCAAACATTTGTCAACAGACCTCAGTGTTACTTACTGCTGCAAGTTTAAGGTCAATTTGTGTCATAAAATACAACTATGTGTTTACTGCCAGTAAATTTGGCTTAATAACGATCGTTATGTGATATACATTGTGCTTTAAACAGTTTAACATATAAATGCCGCTGTGGCTTATTGATCTCTTTTCATTAGAGAAGAAGTTTGGCAAGCAAAGGGAGGTTTATTACAGATATACTCAGTGTTTCTTTTAAGTAGTTCATAGGATAAAACAGAGAACTTGCTGAGGAAGTAATTATAAGTAAGACATTTTAATGAGGCTATGAATATGTATAGCTTCTTCAAACATTCACAAGTACAAAAAAGTAAGTTCAACTTGTCATAGAATTAGTTCTCTAGTAGGACAAATGCATGGGCATGTCTCAATATCGACTTTGGAATTGTTAAACAGTTTAGCAATTGGTTTATAGAAACACAGGAGGCTCAAAGATTTGCACATTTCAGTACACATGAAGAGCAGTTCCTGAATCTAAACAAAAGGAATAATTAGCAAATGCGTAGTAGGGAAGAAAACAACACAATTTATACTTCATGTGGCCAAAATGCTTGGAATTTGGGATGGGAATGGTAGTTGACTGAAAAAATAACTGGTTTCAAATCTTTGGTTTGATGTTATGTTGGTGTTGTGTTCTTAGACTCTTGTTTTGAGGGAGCAAGCAGATTGTCTATAAGAGACAGAAGAATCAGTATTTGATGTCCATCACTGACTTTTTCAACCTTACTGATTTCATGTTATTTTTATGAATAGGTTAGAAATATAATAGTAATTAGTGTGAAAGAAGTTTCTCTCTCACAATAGAAGCATGCTCTGTGGTTTAGTATATGTATTAATCTCTTTTGAAGACAATAAAATAGGTATTTTGTAACAACTGCATTTTTATGTGAAATCCATTGCAATTGTGCAAAATTGGAATTGGCCTCTTATAGGCATATAAAATTACAGATTAACGATTTCTCACATTATTGCCTGCTCTATCCTTGTCATTGTTTATAATAGAAAAAATATTTCTCTGAAGGTTGAATAGAAGTTAAAGCATTTTTCAGTTGAAATTACACTTTATTCTGTCCACTGCTTTTTTTTTTTTTTTTTTTTTTTTTTTTTTTTTTGTCCTGGATAAATACAGTTTTCTTACTCAATGTCAAAAGATTTTTTATTTTCTTTGTAACACTAAAATAGCTGGTTAATACCAAAGAATTTTGAAACTTTTCTTTTTGCTGTTACATCCTCTGGAATTTCATCTTTTTTCTTAAAATAAATCTAATTTTACTTTTATAAAAATACTTAGAGATGGCAAGATAGATGGCAAGAAAATATAGTCTTTTTCACAGTGAGGGGTGAATGTCACAAGTGGTAGTATATGATTTCTGATTTATAATACGCTTTTGCCTACTCTAACAGATTGATCATCTAGTCTTTCCCAACATGTTTGCTACATGGAACCAAATGATTTGATGCCTTGATCACACACCTTTGACCTCAAATGCTTCCACCAAGAAAGAAAACAGATTTTCTGAGGCTCCTGAAAATGAATTGATCATTTGTTCTTTGTATATGCTTTCTCCTTATGCACACATGAACACACACGCAAATTTACATAAACAGCAAGGAAAGCATTATTATAAATGCTGTACATGAAAAATGTATTCCACAAAGTTCCCATTAACTTAAAATGAATCAGTATTTTGCCTGGAAAAAAATGTTAGAGTAACAGCAGTGCTAAAGATTAGAGCCTTTAATGACTTTCTCATTTTATACAGATGACATTAAAAAGCAATTTAAGCTATTATGCAACAGTTAAAATTGAAATTGCTGAATTTTTCTGAAAATACTGAGACAAATTCTCTGCATACGTGATAGAGAACTTCAATGTACTTATATGCACTTTAAAATAGAAGAAGACAGTCTTGTACTTGAAGCAGGATTTCTATCATAGAAGGAAATTCAAAAGCACCTCCTAAAGAATGCTGCCTTTGGCCTGATATCTGTAGATTGTTTTTTGAAATATTCACATAACATCACTGTGATTCATTTTAGATTGAATACCTTTCTCTATAGTGGTATCACACAGTACTGCCAAAAGATGGATATGTCTGCATACATTAATATGTTCACTAATGAATGGAATTAAAAAATCACTTAATTCTTAGTTCAAGAGAGGAATTCTGACGTGACTGAAATTGAATTCAATTATTCTACTGACTGTGGTAGATCCAAGAATTGATTTAAATTTCAAGAATTTGTGTAACAACCAGAGGGGCAGATGTAACCAAACTGACAGCAAGTGGCTAGAAGTTCATAGAAATGCATCAGATGGCATTTAAAAGACACTAATCAGAGGCAAGGTCCTTAGCCTCCCTCTCAGCTTCACAGAAGTTACTTGTGCTTGCATTAAATTGGGAAGGCAGAAGAGTGTCACCCACCTGAGTCTTCCTGATTTTGCTTGTGACCAAAGTTCTGATAAAGATACAGAATGTGTTGGTTTTATTAATGATTTTGCGCTTCATTCAGTGCTAAAAAGTATTAATCATTTTCTGTGGAAATTCAAGTAATTTACTGCTTGAACATCTCTGTAATTAGAAAAGTAATTATTTTCATGAGTTTTGCTATGTGGCAACTTCAGCATAAATTCAAGAAGGTAGAGAAGAAATTCCCTTCACTTTGCTTTAAGTGTTTGTAAGGTAGTAATTGCCCTGACTAACTACATACTTCAACCCCCACCCACCCAGTATCTCTTGTAACCTAAAATTCATTAAGAAGTTATTCATGGTTAAAATAACCACAAAAATGGTGTACACTTAAAAGGTCTAATTCTTAGTATTTTATGCAGAAATGCAGCTATTTTTGTTTTAGTCTTGCTTTGAAACACGTGTTTTGATATTAAACATAATAAAGGGCTTGCTGAAAAAGTGATCACTTAGCCCACCCAGTGTAACAAGGTGTAACCATACTCCAAAATAAAGTACGAAAGTATGTACCTTTAGCATAGGGAATGTTTCAATTAAACTGTTATTTATTTATTTATTTATTTATTTTGACACTGGGTGCTGAGTTTTAAACCTTTGGCTACCTCCCTTTGTGCTCCTTATACAGAGATTTAACAAGGTTGTGATACATTGCATCTCCAAAAGCATGCACTACATCATTTGCCCTGACTGGCAAATACCTCTATAAATACAGGTCGGAGGTGCAGGAAGAGCCAAAAAGGAGGGTGGGAGCAAAGAATGCTTAGCCACAGGCAGAACTTAGTTCACATAAAGGTAAGTGACAGTTGTTATTCCTCTGATAATGCAGCTTCTGCCATGCTGTGCAAGTGGCAGCTCTGGGCAGCATTTCACTTAATCTCTGTCTTGCCCTGGTCCATCTCCCTACCACAGGCAGGAAATTCCAGCCCTCAATGAATCCTTTTTGTACAGCTCATCAGTTCTGTACTGTCTGAAGATCAGCTTTCTCAAAATTACCTTCCTGTGAGAAAACTAATGCTATTTTTTTTTCCTTAAAAGAGAAAAAGGCAAAAAGAAGAAAATGTTTTCCTGTAGTCCCTGAGTTCCATTAGGCTGAGGCTGTGATTACTAACAGTACTACCAGCTGACCTCACCACATGCTGTCAAAATGCTTCCAGCTGATGTACCATTAGGTTATGATATTTTGGACAGAATCTTAATGCCATTTCCTGAGTTGAAAGGTTCTTTATCCTATCCTTTGTATAGCTAATTGTCTAGTTCTTTTGCACTTTGATGTTTTCTGTAGCCACTGCTTCATTGCCACAATATCCTGATGAGTCAGTTGAAAGCTGTTCTTGCCAATGGGATTTAACACTTCACATAATTCTTTTTCTTTTTACTTCATAGGCGAACCATGCAGGATTTTTCTGAAAACTTTTTTGTGTCATTTGGTTTACCCAACAAGATGTGGGAAGGAATAAAACCAAAACCCAACACCACAAGACAACCTGTGTAGATTTCAGGAGGAAAGATCTAAATGATCGATATCATACACTATAACCGGCATCTGACATGTTGTTCAATAATTCTTTGGCTAAGGGCTTGAGTAGATATGGAGTTCTCCCCATATAACATCGGAAACTGTCTCAGAAATGTTCTCAGAAAGAGAAAGTGATTTTACTTACAAAAAAATCAATATCGTGTTGTCACATATCTTTTAAGAAAAAAAATCTACCTTCTACCCCTGTCTAGCTTTAGATCATATCTTCATAACAGTCATAACTAGGATTAGAAACAACTGTATTTAAAACTGAGTCTTTATTACTTGTTCATTTACTTTTTTTTTGTCTTATTGGATTTGGACTCAGGGTTGATATGATGAGTTTCAATTTTATTTTATTTTTTTATTGGCAGTTTACATCCTATTTTAGGGCATGAAACTTGAAATGGATTATTTTTTCTTCTTACTCTGTGTAATGAATGAACTGTTGGATTTGAGATCTTTCAAAACCATCTTTCTTAAACATGCAGCGTTTTTAGAGGTAGGACTAGGTGATCTTAGAGGTCTCTTCCAATCTAGATGCTTCTGAGATTCTGTCAGTAATTTTTATAATACAGTTGTAGAAACAAAGTAAACACTATTGATTTAACTTTACAAGCTTACCTTGGTTTCTTCCTGAAAGTTCATAGGTGCCATGAGTTTCACAATGTACAAACAAACAAACAAATAAAAAAAATCAGAGAATCCTATGCATATAATTAACTTGCTACTTCGTGGTTATAGTCAAGGTCAATTTTTTTACCTCTGTCAACTGATAATTATAGTCATTCCTTAAAGAACTTGGCCAAAAAAAACATACAACATCTGCGGGGAATTGCTTTCTTCAGAGACCAAATAATTGTGTTTTATGTACCTGGAAACTAAGGTGTAGAATGGGTTATTACTCACATCCAACTGAAAATATGTTTGGTCCAGGTGTGAGTATCTCTAGCTCCTTGTGTTTTCTAGCTCCCATCCTTTATCCAAAGTTTTACAGGGTCTATCTTGTCACTGAAAACAGTGTTGTTCTGTTATTAGAGTTCCTATTTTTCCTACTTAGTATCAGGAATTATTGTGTTCTTTAGCTTGGCAGGAGACAAGAAGAAATACTTGATGCTTAGCAGCTGTGCTTTGGAGGAGAGATGAGTTTGGGAAGGGAACAAAATGCCTTCTTTTCCTTCTCCTCAAAACAACCTGGCAGATGGGAAAGTGTTTATTGTCAGTCACTGTAGTGGCCAGTCTGTTATTAAAATGAGTAATTAAAATGGTCATCCCGCTGCAATATGTCACAACGTGTTTGCACCTCACAGTGATGATGACAGTGCACCATGAGGCACACTAAGAGCTTTCTGTGAGCAAACATTGTAACAGTTATGAGGAAGAAAGTTCTAATAATTTTGTGTATTTTACAAATCTGTATTGAGGGGTCTTTTCATAGAGATTTTTTTTTTTTCTAGTGATTGCTCCTTTTTTTCTGTAACGTCTCTTGAAACTTTAGATGGAGAATCTTTTTAACCTTATGCATATTAGAAACAATTAGTTGAAAATTTCCTAATGTTCCATCTTCCTTTATCAAGGTTAATAGCAAGACTTCAAAGTTCAATCCATATTTCTATATTCTGACCCTCATGAAACCTGTACTTTTGTCTCTTCATACACAGTTCTTTGCAGGGACAGTTAATGACAAAAATTGTATCCAAAATACATTGCAGAGGTTATTTCAGTGTCTATAATATTGATTGATGTATGTGAGGGATAGTTTTGTGAACTCTAAAGAAATAAAAGCTTGAGGTTTTACAATTTGGGATAAAGAAAAATGGACAGTAGCTCTCTCTCCAATTCCATGAATCACGCACAAAAAAGACACATTGCACAAATTCATGGGAAAATGGATGTGTAAGAAGCTCTGGCTTAGAGTGATGGCTGCTTTAGAAATAATGTGTGAAAATATTCTGGATGAGGAAAGGAGCAGTCAAAAATCTGGAATTGTAATGAATAAATGAAGAAACTCAGCTGAAGACAAGTGTTTTGGATGGCTACCTCATGAAGAAGCTATCCTCATTAGCTTCAAGTATTGGTGCCAATAAAACATGACCATAGTAAGGATTATTTTTGGCAATAGCTAATCTAGAAATTTGGATTGTTTTTAATAGACTGTTCTATGAGTTGCTGCAAAACATAGTTCTAGATATACAGATATAGATATATCTAGGTATATCTAGTATCTAGATATACCTGTATACCTTCATTTAATTCAAATACCAATGATTATTAGGAAATATTAATCAAGTGTGTGTTTCCAAGATTGTAATGAAACTTCGCCCCATTTTATAAAGCACCTTCCCTGTTTAGAATTCATAAACTTCAAGCTAAATAATCTCCTCTTACAACATGGGGGGAAAAGCTTTGTGGAGGTGGAAGAAAACAACGTCACATATAACTTGACTTTCAGTAGAAATTGGTAGTCTTGCACAGCATCCCCATAAAAGAATTATAGAAACATTGTGGAACTAGTGTAGAGTGGGCAAACAAGCAGCCAAGATGTCATGCTGAGTGTCACTATCTGTTGTTCACACACTGAAATATGAGTGAAGTTTCTCAAGGTCAGTATTACTTGTTGCTTTCATTAAGGATTTGGACGGTAGAATAGAGAATGAGCTTATTAAATTTTCATGCAAAAACAAGCAAGGGCAGGACACCTACAAGCACTTGGAAAGATTACAATGCGAAATGTTGATTGATTGGAGCAATAGCGTGTGGTAGACAGGATGTAAATCAGTCAGAGAAAGAGCGAAGTCCTCCCGCACATGGGAATAATCAGCTATATGATACAAGATAGGGAATGCTAGGAAAGCTGTTCTACAGAAGAGAACCTTCAGCTTGTAGAGGTTAAAAAGCTAAGCCAGAGACAACAGGGACCTGGCACCTTGTCTTGTGATAAAAAGTATGAGGTTTAAACTGAATCAAGGAAGATCTTTGCTACACTGTAGAAAAAATGTCTCCAAACACTAAGGACAGTTAAGCTCTAAAACAGGATGGTTGCCACTGGAGATTTTTTGATATCCACTGACAAATAAAGTACAGGAGTAGCTTAAAGGCTTATTAACTGTTCCTATTTTCTGTGGTTCTCAAGCTGGTATTTCTCTGTAAGTGCTGTTCATATCATAAACATACTTTCTCCTGGATTGTTTATGTTTACCGTTATTTTACATATAACAAATGAAATTGCAGTGTATGCAGTAATATATGTGGAACAAATGTTTTGTTGTTATTTTAAAGATAACAGCCAACATGCTTTGACTGATTTGACATTTCAGATATTTCTGAAATTTCTTGGTATAAAGACAAAATGCTGGGAGAGGTAAAACTGGGTCATAATGTCTCTAGGTACTTGGCCCCGTTGTTGTTGCACCTGAAGATGTTGTATACAATAGAGTATAACAGAGTAGAGTCTATCTGTATGGAACCTATGAAACAGGTGAATGAACTGTAAGGATAGATCCAGTTAGACATACTTTTTTTTTTTTTTTAAGTGAAATCTCTTTTCTTATTATTGGAACTAAAGGTTGCCTTCTGGCATGGACAGATGATGCTCATATGTTAGCAATCTAGACACTGTCAAAAAAATTCTGGATATCTGAGATATGGTTGCTGAGAACGCTTGATGTTATTTGCAGGGATATTTTCAGTCTTCACTTTCAATTATCAACTTTAGATATTGGTTTTCTTGGTCTGATGATGTTTGCTTTGGTCCCAGTCCTGAAAAAGTTAAAGCATAAGTTTACTTGTTCACATACTGAGTGCAATGTGTAGAGTTAAAGTAATTTGCTCATTGTTTTCAGTAAGAATAAAGCTGGGCATTGGAAGTGGTCCCATTTTCTTTGTGTATACATGTACGTGAAATTAAGCATGCACATAAGTCAGCCAAAATTGTCTCCTGTGTTCATTATTGTGAAAGGAGAATGGAGAATGCTTGTGCAGTTATTTTAACATCTTATTTCCAGGGTTTAGACAGTTGTGAAAAACATGGAGTAGCAGATCAATAAGTGCAGTTATACATAGGTATTACATTCACATGTAAAATTGATGGGACTTTTTTCTTTCAAAAGGAACACCATCTTTCTAGCTACCCTACTGCTTTTTACTTTGTTCTATTTGCTTCAGTTGCCAAATGGCTTAGCTACTGCTATAGGTTAAGAAAAAGGCGTCTGGAGTCATTCCACATGTGACTGTATGCACTAAACATTAATATACTTTACACTATTAAGCAAACTTA